AATCAAGACTTCAAATTTGTATTTATCGAGTTTTTTTATTAAAAAGAAACGTGCAATTGGCATTAACAACTTACATGCATGTTATCGGGAGTACATGATACCAAGTGTTTTTTCGATACCTTTTGATGTTGTGTATTTCTGATGATACAATTGTTTATAAAAAGAAATCCCACGCATTGTCTGTCATTGAATTTCTCATCATTCTTTTTCCTTTCCTCCTCCTCTTCCAATTCACAATCCTTTTGTTGTTGTTGTTGGTTCTCTTCCGTAGCAATTATGTGTACGTGCGTGTTTCTGTGTTTGTATATACATTTACATATAGACTAATAAATTACAAATAATTATACGTACTATGCGTTTTATTAGATCAGTGTTCAAACACATGATTGTTCACAAATGCTATTAAATTTCAGCGATTGTATAACAGTCACGCGAGAGTAATACTCATCAAAAACACAAACATGTCACCATCAGGTTGTATAACGTAAGAGGTTTCACGGCTTTCACAAGCAATTCATAGTTCAGCTTCCAATCTGGAAAGAAGCTGTAACAGTTGAATTGCATTTGTTGGGATTCCACACTGCTCCAGTTCACATGTGTACTGTGTGCTCGCGTTTTCACAGAGCCAAGCTGCTACTGAGGCTTTAAAATAAACAATAACATAGAAAACTGTGTCGAACTACATGAAGGTGAAGTGCGAGTAAAGGCAAGGAAATACCGAGGAATAATAGCAACGAAGGCATACTATAGCTGCAGCAGTTACTGGGTAGGGAGAGAACTGTGGAAGACAGTAGCAGTACCTGCCCTAACCTATGGAAATTACTTAATTATATATAAGGATAAGAAAAAGGGAACAGGCACTCTCCAAGCCCTTGAAAATACCCAAAACCAGCTTGATAGGGAACTGTTAGGTGCCCCCACCTTATGCGGGTATTGAAACAATATAGTCCAGTTGTGAAAAGCCCTTTTTGGGGTGAACGTGGTTTTTGCGTCCCCACAAAGTTTTTTTGCGGAATTTGTATCTTTGACGGGTGCAGATTAAGAATCTGGATGATGCCGGCGTGGCACCCTTGGGCATTTTGCATAATATGCAAATTAACGCGGCCATTACCGAAATTTGAGGTTTTGGCCATAACTCGCTTGCTTTACAAGATAGAAGTAAAATTCTGGTGTCTACCCCCAGGTTTTCAGCGTTTCTGGTTCTGTTTAGCTCATCCCCAACATGATTTGATCATTTTCATATGCATAAT